CCCCAGCGAGGAGGGCGCCACCTGTCGTCACCCCAGCGAGGAGGGCGCCACCTGTCATTACCCCAGCGAGGAGGGCGCCACCTGTTGTCGCTTTTCAATCACCGTGGGAGGTCTTGTCCGGCAGCTTGGCTTCTGTGGATTGCGGGCAGTGTGCTAAACTTGGGGTGCGACGAAGCATGTGAGCTGGGTGTGTAAACTAGAGGGTGCTGTGGTCTTTCATGGGCCAGGCATGTCACATGTGAGGTTGGTGTAGAGTTGTAAGTGTAATCTATCTGTGTATGTATGTGTGTGTGGTGCTATGTACGGGGTTGCTGGTTTTCCCCTAGTATGCAGTGGTGTTAACCTGGTAAGTCTTAGCCGTGTGCTGCAGTAGTTATGAGTATTATATACTGGTGTAGTGCCGATATTGAATAACATGCTATAAATTGAGCCATGCAATACTATTTATTGGAGTAAAGACACTTTCATGTTACTTAGTCAGAACTGCAGCTTGCTTTCATAGCTCAACAATAAATAAGGCGCAGTGTAGTGCACATTCACACACACACACGTGGAATTCAGCGTCTTCCCGTTGTTAATTAAAACGTTAAGTAACGTTAGAAAAACTAGGCAGAAAAAAAGCATTCAAGATTTGGCGATGATCAGAAAAATATCCTCGTTTGCAAGCTGTTTGCCACCGCCGGTGATGTAGAGCATTAATAAGTAGTTGTTATCGGGGTGGGGGGGGGCGTTGAGTGAAAGGGTGTTAAAACAGGGGCCCAGGCTTGGGATAAATTTATAATAAGTTTTTTGTGCAGTTTACTTACCAGATACAGTTGTTAAGCTGGCTGGTGCGAGATCGTGTTGTCAGTCGGGCGAAAAAACCCGTTGGCTTTTTACAGGGAATTTTGCACCTGTGACTTGGAAAAATGATGCCTACGTGGAATGTTTCTGCTTTCTGTCAGACATCGTGCGTTTATTAACTTATGTTGGTGCTATTTAATATTGTTTCGGAGACGCGAACCCATATAGTAGTGATATTTATGGTTAATTACCCTGTCTATGGGTATTATTATCATGTACAGTATTTATTGTTGCCGTATTATTTGTAGTTATATATGTTTATACAGTTTCTGACAGGACGTCAGCAGTGTGCTTGTTAATAGATTTGTTCATAGCTTTTTGTTTAAATGGCTATTTCTTACATTCATTTCTTCAAGTTTTTCCTCCACGAGCATCTATCTTGCATCGCTACTTTCATTTCGTCTCGTTCGAGCCCAGTTTCTTCAACTAGTAGGGGTGATATTGGGACAGCCAACACGGCGCCTGGAATCTGGCGACCACAGCAGTAACTTCGCTGCGGGTTCTTCGTGATGGGAAACGTGACCCGCCGATGCAAGTCGTCTACTTTTGACGACTGTAGAAATTTAATTCAATCAAAGGCATTTATAGATGTTTGATAATTGTATCATTTAGTGGAGTCATCAGCGATAGCCAATTCGTTGGTTAGTCAGTTCATATCTATATATTTTTATGATAGCTACGATCGGATCTGACATGTAATATCATCCGTCACTATGACCAACGGTGTCTCGTATTATACATGTCTGAAAAACGTGATTATTATCACTCGTGGACATTTTAATTATGTGACGGCGTGTTTTATTTTATTTCTGTGCTCTCTCGTGGCTGCGTTTACCTAGTATACTTAAGTTCCCACTTGCTTTGAGGAAGCTAATTCATATACCTAAGTGAAATTAACACTGCTTCGATTATACTGCGTATCTAGAGATATCTCTAAAAGTGTTATATAAAAATTAAATATCTGGTCCAGTGATTCCGATCTTATGGTAATTATTTAAGCAAGGTCGACATAAGTAGGGATGAAACTGCTTGCATGTGTATACATAGCGTTTTTACCCGAACATCGAAAACTGTGGGCAGCGAATGTTCGGAAGTCAGAAGACCGATAAGTTCATAAAATTGCTGAGATTAAGCGGTGGTCCCCATTAAGCGGTGGTCCCCATTAAGCGGTGACACAACAGCCTGCGTAAAGCCCGCCGCACACGCTGTGGAACTTACTGTGCCATCGTCCACACGTGGAAAGTGGCGCAGAAAATTCCACAGCGTGTGCGGATGCAAAATCCCTGGATCTGGGTCGTGTGGAAAATATCACACATATATGTTAGATATTTTCCTCCACGTGTGGAAATGTTAACAGCGTGTGTGCGGTGTCTGTATAAATGTTCACACCGCCACACATATATAAAGCAGGTATCACTGTATTCTATACTTCCGTTTAGATGTGTTCATGGTATTATACGGTACGAACGGGCGGCCTCATGAAGTTATTTATTTATTTATTCATTTACAGACGGTACATTGGTAAAAGATGTATCAACATGAGCTTGCAGGCTCCTCACTGTCCGTTATCATGTCCGCTTATGAAAAGTTGGAAATATTACGAAGAGAGAGAGTTGTGAAAGAAATTTGAGGAAGTATATGCTGTCGTTTGTATTTTGTATCAAAATCATCGACTGCGTGCAGTCAAGAAGTAAAACTTACCTAGCACCCGATGTGTCATATTAATCGTAACCGCTAATACATATCATATACATGCATATATATATATATATATATATATATATATAGAGAGAGAGAGAGAGAGAGAGAGAGAGAGAGGAGAGAGAGAGAGAGAGAGAGAGAGACGAGCAGACGAAGAGCAGAGAAGCAGAGAGGAGAGAAGTAAAAACATCACGACACCCATATAGATATGAACATAAATGTAGAAAAATAAAATGAGGTGGAAGCTGTCGAGAATAATTTCTCTTCATCAGGCTATATGCATATATTATTATTATTATATATATATACTATATATATAGTAAACCATCATCCGCTTACATATATTGCCATCACCTCACCTTATACGGGAAACACAAACTAAAGATAATATAACAAGCGGTCGGTTTCGTGGTGTCAGTTAGTTAAATATCCAGCAGACAAGCCAGTGGCGTCGATAGACGTTCCACTGCTGTTTTGTTGATATAGATAGTTAGCTTGCTAGGATACGTTTGTACTGGTTGCCGGTGGTAGGCTAGCTTGCTAGCGATACGTTGTTGTTTACCATTACTGGCGTCGGTGAAGAGCTAGCTTGCTAGGATACGTTGCTACTGACGTCAGGTGGCATAGAGCTAGGCTTGCTAGGAGTATCGTTGCTTACTGGCCGTCGGTGCAAGAGCTAGCTTGCTAGAGATACAGATTGTATGACCTGGTCAGGTGGCTTAGAGCTAAGCTTGCTAGGATAACGTTGATACTGGCCGTCGGGGTAGAGCTTAGCTTTGCTAGGATACGTTGTAAAAACTGGCGTCGGTTTGGTAGAGCTAGCTTTGCTAGGAATAACGTTGTACTGAACGTCGGTGGCATAGAGCTAGCTTGCTAGGGATACGTTGTACTGGTTGCTGGTGCATAGAAGCTAGCTGCGTAGGGATTAGGTTGCATGTCTGGCGTCGGTGCGAAGAGCTAGCTGCTAGGATACGATTGTACTGACGTCGGTGTAGAGCTAGCTTCCTAGTGCATACGTCTGTAACTGGCGTCAGGGTAGAGCTAGCTTGCTAGGATACGTTGCTACTGGGCGTCGGTTGGTAGAGCTAGCTTGCTACGATTACGTTGTACTGGCGTCGGTGGGATAAGAGCCTAAGCTTGCTAGGATAACGTTGTACTGGCGCTCGGTGTAGAGCTTGCCTTACTAGGCATACGGTGTACTGGTTGCGGTGGTAGAGCTAAGCTTGCTCAGATACGCTTGTACTGGTCGTCGGTGTAGAGCTAGCTTTGCTAGGATACGTTGTACCTGGCGTCGGTGTAGAGCTAGCTAGCCTAGGCATACGTTGTACTGGCGTCGGGTTGGTAGAGCTAGCTTGCTAGGATACGTTGTACTAGCCGTCGGTCGTGTGAGCTTGCTGTGCCTAGGCATACGGTGGGTACTGGTTGCGGTGCGTAGAGCTAGTGCTAGCCGGATACGGTTGTACTGACGTCGGTGCTAGAGCCTAGCTTGCTAGGATACGTTGTACTGGTGTCGGTGGTAGAGCTAGCTTGCTAGGATACGTTGTACTGGCGTCGGTGGTAGAGCTAGCTTGCTAGGATACGTTGTACTGGTGTCGGTGGTAGAGCTAGCTTGCTAGGATACGTTGTACTGGTTGCGCTGCCGCACGCAGCGATGTCGTATCTCCACGGCCCCGTAGCCCGCCATGCCCGTCAGCAGGAATGCCAGCACGACGTACAGTTTCACGCTCACGCACAGGAAATTCCCATAGGCGAACGTCATCAGAAACCCGAGGCTCTCCCATAGCCGGTAGTTGGAGAAGGCGGCTGCTGTACTGTCGGGAAAGGTCACACCGTAGAAGGCGTTGATCTGCGTCTGCCACACGGCGTCGCCGACCCCCCACCCCGCGGCGATGGCGAGAAACGTGACGATGCCGTCAGCGTGCGGTTTCCACATCAGTAGCACGACGATGGTCGCCAGGTGCGCGACGAAGCCGACGCAGAAGATGGGCGCGCGGCCGACGTACTGCACGAGCCGTCCGCCGATGAACGAGAAGGCGGCGTCGGCGACGCCGAACGTGATCATCGAGTAGCCGACCATGTGCACCCCGACGCTGCACGTCACGTAGGCGAGCGTGAAGTCGGCGGCGATGAACGCCTGCTCAACGCCACTGTAGAACGTGAGCGGAATCAGCAGCAGCTGGTCGGGCCTCGACAGGTGGCGCGCTGTCGCCAGCAGCTCGCGCAGCGTCGGCATAGCCAGCACGTCGCGTTGCTCGTCGGACCTCAGTTGGTCGACAATGGCCGCCACCAGCGCGGCGGCGGCGACCGCACACGCGAAGTAGATGCCCATGAGCAGCATGACACGCGACCTTGGCGGCGGCGCAAGGTTAACATTGGTGATGTTCGCCGATGCCGAGTTGGCGGCGCAGTAGGCGGCGCCACAGTACGCCTCGACGATGTCGGCCGGCACCGTCTCGTTCGGCGCCGACGTTTGGAACACGGACGACGAGATCAGATTCCCCCAGATCTGGCCGCTCTGGAACATCAGGAAGAAGATGCCGAAGAATCGGTTGACGACTGCCTCCGTGCTGGTGCCTTCCAGACGCGCGTACTCGCCGCCCGTCTCTGTCAGGTACTTACACTTGGCCGTCCACAGCGGCGCGGCGGCCGTGCCGAGCGCGATGGAGGCGGGCACGAGCGTGTACCAGGCCGCGTGCAGGTTGGCGAGCATGTAGACGCTGTACACGAGCATGGCGATGACGATCGTCCACTTGCAGCCGAGTCGCGCGACGACGGTCGTCGGCAGCAGCGTGCAGGAGACGACCAGCGAGCCGTAGATGATGCTGAGCGAGGCAAGTCCGAGACCCTCGTCGCGGTTGACGCTGCTCTGAAGGTTCTGCAGCGACTGGAAGGCGGTGAAGAGCAGCAGAAAGGCGCCGCTAATGACGCAGACGTTTTTCAGTATGACGAGTTTGCGCCGGAAGACGTCCGGGGTCAGGGGATCTGCAGCCGTCGCGACCAGCTCTTTCGTCGACGAGGACCGAGTTTGGCTCTTCGTCGCCATCTTGAGAGGGAGACCGCTGTTAAGATTATATCGAGGTGCGACCGGTTGTGGGGTAGACGGCCCGTGAAAATCCTGGTGTTGCCGTCGCGCGCACGAATGACTGAACCTGCGTACAACGTAGTAACGTCTTACAAACTGCTGCTCTAGTTGTGTTTCTCGTCACGCAATGTCGCAACAATGGCAGACGGGCATTGTTCTCACCGGCAGTGTGTATGCTAGCGGCAAAACAAGCAGGTATAACATGTCGAGGTATGCACACCTATCGGGAAGAGGGGAGGGGTGGGGTGGAACCACCGAACCAAGACCGAATCAGGTTAGCGACTAGACTGACCCCAAAAGTCTCCGGTGGCATATATAGCGCGCGGTCGCAGAGCCCACGGGCATAAAATTCTCCACATTTTACGGAGTCAGTCTTATGCGTCTGCTATAGATGTTGGTCTTGTAGACTAGATCAGACGCAGTGCGTGCCAATCAGCGCATGTCAATATATAATATCATTGTGGTGCATTACATATATTACATATATAGGCGAGCTGCGTTACATCCGCTATAATCGCAGAGCGTGTGCCTCACAGCCCAAAAACTGTGATATAAGGGGGGCCGTATGCCACGTGAGGCAAGTAAAGCGACGAGCATGAAATGTAAATTAATTGTGTAGATTGTGGAAAAAACGAGAGGGACTCATTTATAAAGTGAGATGTAGAGGTAGTAGATAAAACCTCATGAGGTTTATTATCGTTAAAAATATTATATATACATAAAACATAGTTTGTTAAACGTCAAATGTGATTGAAGAGTGTAAATTAGACTATAGTATCTAGTACAAGTATAATATAATTATTTATTACTATAATAGTAAGAGTTGTAGATAAACGATTGTACGATTGTACTAGATACTAGTCTAATTTACACTCTTCAATCACATTTGACGTTTAACAAACTATGTTTTATGTATATATGATATTTTTAACGATAATAAACCTCATGAGGTTTCATCTACTACCTCTACATCTCACTTTATAAATGAGTCACTCTCGTTTTTCCACAATCTACACAATTAATTTACATTTATGCCGTCGCCTTTACTTGCCTCACGTCTGAGCAAGGCAGACAAAAGAAAATTAAAAAAATGTTGATGTAAATTTATGCGTTTTTGTTGGCGTTATGCAGATTCTAGCGCAACTATCCACCGAAAAGCGTTATTGAGTTGACACTAAAAATAGGACGCCATCGTGAATGTTAATTGAGATATTGATTCCGGTTCTAATATTATCTTTCAACTGGGGAAATTTCTTCTGGAAACAATCAGGAGTATGGACCATGCGATCCTGCTGAGGGCAGATATTTAATTAGAAACCACAGGAGTCGATCAAAAGAAATGTTACACTGCTAGTAAACAGAAAGCTTGCCGTGCGCCAACTTTACAGCGCTTGTGGCCAAAGCGGCGTCTACACTATAGACTAAAACCCTCGTTTTAGGAAAACGCGCCGGTTCGGCGGTGCAGCCGTCTACACTGTCAAAAAACCCAGCCATTCCT